GTTCTTGTCAATCCAAATAAAATTTATATAAGGATTCACGGTGTTTAAATTCAAACAGAAAATTTCTTGCTGATAGTATTGGTTTCCTGGCTTATTGGGTCAATTACACAACTGAATAATCAGAACGACGCAAGTTGAAAAAAAAAATCCTAAAAAATCAAAAGAAATTAACAACAATTAACAAATGTAAATATTGAAAGTCACATGGGCAACCCCACCAGGTAGAATAGTTGTGATATCCCCATCAAGATCTAACTCTAAGAAGATACTATTCATTTCTTCTTTACACTGCTGCTCGCTTTGGAGACTAAACAATGAAAATAATATGTAACAGTCAGCCAAGTAACGATAATAAGAAAGACTAGGGTATAGCTGTTTAAATCATCCAACATAAAATTGTATAAGACCTTAGTGATTAACCCAGCGTGTGGAATCCCTACTTCCGTAATAGAACAATTAATTCCATTTTGGTCATAAACTGGTCGCATTTGACAATGTGTTAATGATTGAAAAACTTATTTTGAGTGGAAGAGATAATGTCAAAATGATGAAATAAAATTAAAAGAAGAGACAAAATCTCAAAACAATGAAATGATATTCAATAATGAGAAGAAGAACTGTCAAGAATTATAAATAACAAAATTCTTATCTTGAAAAGACATCTAACTTAGGTAAGATGACTCTCCTAAAATTCTACAAATACTTTTTTATATACACAAATAGCTATTGAGAGAAAGCAAATAAGGTCTTTCAAATTACTTAATATATAAAACATGATGGGGAGTCATTTGTTGAAAGATAGAATACTTAAGAATCCCCTAAACTTGCTACTTTTATTCAGTGTAGACATAAATTTTATGTTGTCTTAGTTACCCCTAGGCTTGACTATTTGTTATATTATTTAATTACCCCTGTGATATTAACATGACAAAGAGTATGGATACATTCACTATTAGGCACGTGAGAAAAAGAAAAAGACGAAAAATAACTTTTAAATAAAGTATTTTTCAACTTTTGATTATTACATAGTCATATACAATGGTTTATTTATTACAATTATGTATTTCTTGTTGCTTCATTATTTACAATGCACATTTTACTCCAACTTATATTCAGTGAATATATATATTTTTTTCATTTTATTGTATTCATTTTTTACTTTTTCAAAATATATTTATACACAATTTATGTACTTGAGCTCGTATTCCTACGTAGGCAGCATAGAATGCACTTCAATAGGAATACACATTGTAATTAGATTTGTAATTAATGTCTTGTGACTATTGCAAAATATTTTCTACTATTTGTATAAATAGGTTGTTGGTATTATTAATCTTGTTAATGCAAAGCCAAAGATTTCTTTGTGATCCCTTTTCTTTCTTTACTTCTTTATCTTTTATGAAAGACAAAATATCCCTCATTGGTGGTGGAAAATCTTTTCCTCTCTTTATATTGAATTGCTCTTTGTTGGGCTTGTAAAAAGCTAATAAAAGGGAGTGGTCTTGCGCACATGATAAATTGGTTCTGAAGGCAAAACGGGTTGATTTCCTCCCTTCGCGTGAGATATAGGTGATAAAATATGTTTTATACACATTTTAAAAATTTAGTTGATTTTAAAGTCCTAAATAAATATTAAAAAAGTAATTAAATTACAAATTTGTCCAATACAAAATCTATTTTAAAGGGTAAAAAAGACGAACGATATTTCGCTAATGGCCTTCGTGCTTTTAATATAATATAGATAATACTCCGTTCATTCCTCAATACTTATCATGTTTTGGCTAATAACCAAAATTTAGTTGATTTTAAAGTACTAACTATTAGGAAAGTAATTAAATTATAAATTTGTCCAATACAAAATCTATTTTAAAGGGTAAAAAGGCGAAATATATTTCGCTAATGGCCTTCGTGTTTTTAATATAACTAGTCTCTATGTCCGTACCTCGCACGAAATATTTTATGTCATATTACAAAACGCGTAACAAAATTATAAACTTTCACTTACCTAAAAATTCTAGTTAACCTAGGTACTTGTTACTGAATATGTATAAAGTTTAATACTTAGTTCCTCAAAAAAAAAAATGTTTTATAATTCGAACAACTCATTAATAAAATTTTGACAACAATATTAGGACAAAATGGAGCTAAACATTATGAAAGTTATGCTAAAAGTAGTAAAATCACTTTAAAATCCAACTTATAAAGATCTTATTTTGCTTCAATTTTGTAACTACTCCTAATAAATTTAACTTCAGTATTTTTGAAAATATCTGACTATATAAAATTGAATTAACTTCCACTGAATTGGAATGTATGTACTCTACGTTTACCTAGAGGAAAGTTTAGTATATTTAATCTTAGATTTCTAATTTCACTTAAGTAATTAAAAGATAATCTTTAGTTGAATTTAAAGTCGTAAATATTGGATAAACTTTTAATAAGACAATCTTATCCAACATGGAATTGTCTTTAGAGGGAACTAAGCTTTGAAAACACATAAAAATCGATCCGCGTGATATATGTTTTTACGAATTTTTTAATTTAATTTATATTACTATAGTTTCAACATTAAATAAATATCTATTGAACGATAAAAGCATAAAGCATAGGAGTAATTATAAGCTCTTTGATCATTCAAATTTATAACTTATTTGGCCAAATTTTTGGAAAGCCAATTTTCTTTAAAAAGTGCTTATTTAAGAGAATTGAGTTATTTGACCAAGCTTTGGGGGGTGGGGGGGGATCATCTTTAAAACTTAGCCAAACACAATTTGATGCTCTAATATTGGAAAAAATACTTTTCATACCAAGCTAAACATAAATTATTTTTATTCAAAAATACTTTACCAAAAAGTTCTTTTAATAAAATAAAAAAAACACTGTCCAAAATAAGTAAATTTTGAAAGCTTGAATAAAAAAACTATATTGTTTAATTTGTTTCCCAACAATATAGGCCAGGAAGCAGACCAAACACAATAACTAAGAAACATACAAAATTATTCATTAACGTCAAATTCGTTGACCCTAAACCAAATCAATATCAAAAAAGGAAAACAAAAAGCAAACGAGAACTAAAAATAACTTCAAGAACTTTGCCGTGTTTTGTCTGAAACTCCCTAAAAAGATTGGTGATGAATAGTGTGGAATAATATTTGTTTTTAAAAAGTACTTGGCTTATCCTTTTTCTACATGAATTGATGTAATATATTTAATTTTCATACAAATTGGAGAACCAAAAATCAAGCGTACAACATGCATATTGCTATCCATAAAGAATAATGATACTATCCTTTGAACCATATGCATATTGGCGGTAAGTACAATAGCAGTCCAAAACCAATTAGAATTTTACATCCATGTGTAGTTTAAATCGAATAAGAAGTTTCCGTGTAAATTTCAAATATAATATTTTGAAATTTATAATTACATCCATTTTTAACTTGGTTCATTAACAAATATTTTAATTTTTTAAGGGCATAAGAGTCTATCAATATTACGGGGTAATTTTTTTTTTTTACATATAAACTTTATCACTTCACTTACAAATCATAATGTGTATTATATACACTTTTATGGCTATATGATATAAATAGTTTCGACCACGGGCTAAAAGTGATCTTTGCCTGTAAAAATACGCTAACAATTAATTAATAGCCCATTAAAATGGGGGGATTTGCATTTATACCCGATTTTTGGGTCACTTTTTAACCTATACCCGTTTTGTCGCTCAATATTTAACCTATACCCGTTTTGTCGCTCAATATTTAACGTAAATTATTCGTGCTTTTATAATAATATAGATATAGATATAGATAATATAGATAATACTCCTTTCATCCCTCAATACTTCTCATGTTTTGCTTTGCGAGAGTCGCGAAAAATGAACTTTGACAAACATTTTAATATCTTTCGTATAATTAGTATAGTATCTTTCGTATAATTAGTAGTCACGATAAATGAACTTTGACAAACATTTTAAATAGTAGTATCTTTCGTATAATTTTTGAATATCTAAATTTAAATTTTAAAAGAATGAATTAATCTGATCCAATTAGCTTAAAAATTAGTCAAATTGACCCCAGAGAAGCGAAATATGACAAGTATTTTGGGACGTATGGAGTATATGGTATTGATAATAGGTGATTTCTTTTAATATTACTAAGTCTTTTTGTGTAGAGTTACTCGATATTTGTGTTGGTGGGAGAATTTTTGTGTAGGAAATAACATAGACGCTTTCAAGTTGACTTGAACATTCTTCTTTGAAAAAACAAGAGAAAAAAAAGACCATATCCGCACCTATCTTTGGTCATCCCCTGAATCATGCTTTTTTTTCACACAAGTGGATGAGAATTTGGCGTAGAGGGTTAGACTGGCAATTAGTTATGCGACTGGGACAAAGAAAATGCTACAGTCAACTACATGACCCCCTAAAGTTCAGTGAACATATAGAATTGAATACTTCTAACACTGGATTATCTTTTGAAATTCAACTTGATTCCCAGAACAGAGCATATCCAATTGAAATCCAGGCACTTTCTCCGTCATGCACCGTTACAGAGGAGAAAGATAACAGCTACTTCAAACTCTTAGCCGGGTATCTTTCTGCACGCAACAGATCAAGTTTCTAAATGTGAGCATATATGGGACATTTTGACAACACTGGGTGAAACTTAAAAGAGGAATCCCTTTGGATGCAGTTTGACATCCACACATGACACACCAATGAATTGCCTTCAAGTATACGATCTCTGCATTTCTAGCACTGTTGTATATTATGCTCGAAGTAGTTGAATATCATGCATAATCTGTTCAGGCTTAATGGATACAAGGATAAGCATGAGTACACAAGGCTTTCTAGCAAAATAGATCTGCATTGTCTTTTTGAAAACATCTGTGAACAGTACCTGCAATGAGGCCCTGAAATTTCAAGCATTCAACATGGTAAAGCATAACATATTCTTGGTCAGGCTAGTAAACTCATCAGGAGAATTGACAGAGAGCATGTCAACATAGAGGATGCAATAGGATGAGAACACCTTGACATTGCATACTCACAAAGCATATAAGTTTTGCACATTCAACTATTACACGCAGCAACATCCTATCAAGCACACCATAGCTATGTTCTCATTTCGTGAAACAGAACTCTGGAAATACAAAGTTCATACTTATCTATATCAGCCTATTGATAATTTCGAGGGGGCATATCTCTTCCAGGCATGTTTTGATTCTGATAAGGGTTTCCACCAGCCGTATTCGGAGCATAGTTCTGATTTGGAGGGGGCATATCTCTTCCAGGCATGTTTGGATTCTGATAAGGGTTTCCACCAGATGTATTTGAAGCATAATTCTGGTTTGGTCCTGGACCTGTTTGGTAAGGCATGCCTCCGTTGCTTTGTCCACTATTGTATTGAAAATTATTTGGATTGTTTGGCGCTCCACCATAGTTATTGGGAGGCGCTCCACCGTAGTTATGAGGTGCACCTCCCATATTGGGCTGCTGTGGTCCTCCCATGCTAGGCTGATGCCTCCCACCCATGTTAGGCTGCTGCATCCCACCCATGTTTGGGGTTGGCGCATTCGTCATATTGGGAGGTCCACCACCCATGTTGGATCCAGTGTTCTGCATCTCTCTTCTTCTCTCAAAATTTCTGGACCTATCAAAGTTACGAGGTCGGTCATTGCGCCTGTTCCTCTCATTAGCTCGGGCATTGTTTCTTACCCACTCCTCGTGGTACTTTGGGTCGTATGGTACAGCCTGCCCATTGATAAAAGGTTCCCCTGGCAACATGTACCACAATGGTCATACAATACTGGTGTACAAGAAAGAACCTTTTTATATCCACAAGGGGCAAGATAGACATGTATGGCAGCTCTTCATGCAATCAACAATGTGCAGACACAGAAAACATAAAAAAGCCTGAATGCAACATAAGCTGTAGCAACGAAAAGAGCTATTGATAAGTCATATCGTCATAAACTGATTTTGTGCAATTACATAAAAACAATTATCCTAAAGCTTTTTGCTTCTCATTCCTGAGACAATACTGCAGACTCATCCAAGGTTAATGGTCGAAATTAATTGACCACTGTATTAAATCATAAATGAGTTTATTGTTCAGAATCAAGCACTTCATATTTCAATCGCATTTTTTCTAATACTCCCCCTTGTCTCATTCAAAATGACATTTTCTATCTTGGTACATTCCTGACATACTTCAACCATAATACTACCTTATGTAACTTACACAAATTTCAGGGATTCAACTTCATTTTGACAATTAATAATACATTTTCCCTATCAAACCTTTGCTTCAGTTTTAGTATTTCCTTTAGCTAGTACTTTAACTCTTCACTAAGATCATGTCATATACAAGTCAAATTGACATTTTAAAATCTCCATACCAATCAAAATATGTTAAACAAAATGGGATCACCCAAAGATCACATATGTAAAGGGACTGGATAGCAAAGCAAATCCACAGCAGACTGGAAGCTAATTAAGGCAGAGAACATAATAGAAGAGAGACATCACTCCGAAGTCTATACGCCAGGAGCAAATGCCTAGCATATTACTCACTTAAAAGAAAAAATAATCATATTATGATTTCACCAGAAGTGTGACAATAAAAAACCACTCACTACCTACCTCCGTAATCTTTATTCTTAACATCCAGGAAGGAATCAGGAAGCACCCAGCTAACCCTGGGCAGTTCTGCACATGGATGAAGAAATGAAGGTTTAGTTTCACCTCTTTAATTTTAAGAAATACGTTTATAAGATCAAGAAAAAACCAAAAAAGATTAAAGAAAAGAGAACTATAAAAATATGTCACCTTTTAGCTTGTAATGAAGTTCTTCGGATACAAGAGCTCCAAATGCATAGTAATGTCTTGTCGAGACAGAGTATATCTTCATTCTTGCTTCTTCCTCGCTGCAAGGTAAATTAATCACATAAGTCATCCACAACAATTAACTATACTTCTTTGGAAGCTTTTTGCATGCCCAAGCCAGGGGCAGAGCTAGGTATTAAAGCGCTTCAATTGAGTCCCCTACGTCGAAAACTGCACTGTGCAAATAAGGAAAAAGATAAACTGTTGAATCCCCTTCATATAAGGAAAAATTTCTAGTGTAGCAGCAAAGGGTTAAAAAGTTGATTTAGATCACAGGTTCACATCCTAAGTGTGACATTATATTTTTTTTTGAATACCCTTGTATAAATTCCCGACTCTGCCGCTAGCCCAAGCAGTTCAACAGTTAGAGTGTATCCCATCAAAAAGTACCACTTTTATTATTCAGGCAAACTATTAAGAGCAAACAACAGCAACAGTAACAACTATCCCTCAATCTCAGCTAGTAGGGATTAGCTATATGATCCCTCAACATCCATTTTCCTCCATTTGCAACAGTATTGTCAAAGGCTCATTTAAGGCACGCTTAGGTCCTTAAGCTCAGAAAAGCCGGTAGAGGTCGCTTTGCCTCACTTAAGCTGAGTTTCAGTCGTAAGCAACGCACTAAGGCGTTCACACTCATTCTATCTTGAATGTAGAGGTACTAAACAACAAATGTAATCGGCAAATAAGAAGTTCAGTTTAAGGAAAACATTATGAATGAATTTATTTCTTTTTTTTCTTAAATTGCATAACTTGTCTTCTAAAACTAATTAGAGATTCTCAAATTCTCTACATTTTCCAGACATACAAATTCTTTTCCTTCTCTTATCACTTCCATTTCTGACCAAAATATAAAGGTTATTATTTTTAAGATTAAATTGATGTAAAGAAGAAAATATTAATAAAAAAAGTAGAGCATTTCAATTCGAACCTTCCAACAACTTTAGCCAGAGTTTTGATGTAGCTATCGATGATTTCATCTCTGGTAGGATCACCCTCAGGTTTCTCCATCACAACAAGCCAGTGCTCAAAATCACATCCATCAAGTAGGATCGTCTCCTTCGGGGGACGGTTGGACCAGTTCGGGTTCGGGTCATTTAAAGACGACGACGTTTGCCGAGTCGCAAACCCTCGAAAGGAGGTTGCTACCGCCGGAGAGACGCTGCGGAGGTTGACAGCTGTGACGGCAATAAGCGGTCGAAGACGGAGGAGAGAAAAAGAAGAGAGAGAGGGAGGAGGTGTAGAGAGAGAAAGAGAAGTGTATGAGCGAGAGAGAGCAGTGAATAAGGAACGAGTCAGATAACGAGTCGCCATTTCTGCAAAACCCTAAGGTGAGAGAGACGAGAGATGAGGGGGAGGGTTTATGTAGAGTGAGGCAGTGAGCAATAGGTTCAAAAGCTATAAATTTAATTCTTTGTTGTATAAATTCAGATTTGTTATAAATATATTATATTATGGATGTTCATTTAGTACTCCGTTGAATATAAGTTTCCTGAAAAAGTTTATCCATATGATACTCCGTCGTAAATATGTTTATCTATTTAGTACTCTATTTATCATTTTGATAATCCGTTATGGATAAACATTACCCCGATAGAAGATTATTTATATCTGGTACAGTAGCAGCTTACAAGTAGCTTACACAACAACTTCCTTTCTTCTATAAATAGAGGAATTTTCAGTTCATTATGTACAGAAGTTTGAAGTTTGAAGTTTGAATAATATATCAGTTTCTCTCTATACTTGTCTTTACTTTACAGTCTTTATTTTATAACACGTTATTAGCACGAGACTCTGCCATCTCGAGCAAATACTTTGAAAGTATCAGAGGTACGAACTTTTTTTTTCTAAGTAATGTCAAATCTTTCTGAACTTGAATTTGTAGCCCTGGATATATCGGGCAAAAGCTATATGTTTTGGGTGCTTGATGCTGAAATTCATCTTGATGCGATGGGTCTGACAGACACCATCATGGACAAAAATCAAGCATCAAACTAAGACCGTGCCAAAGCAATGATATTCCTTCGCCATCACCTTAACGAAGGCTCGAAAATGGAATATCTCACTATTAAAGATCCAGTCATACTGTGGAATAATTTGAAAGATAGATATGACCACCTGAAGATGGTCGTTCTTCCACAGGCACATTATGATTTGACTCATCTAAGGCTACAAGATTTTAAATCTATCAGTGAGTATAATTCTGCTATGTTCAGAATTATTTCCTAATTGAAATTATGTGGTGATATTATTACTCATCATGATATGTTGGAGAAAACTTTCACCACTTTTCATGCCTCGAATATGCTCCTGCAGCAGCAATATCGAGAGATAGGATTCAAAAAGTATTCTGAACTTATCTCACATCTTCTTGTAGCCGAGTAACATAATGGGCTATTAATAAAAAATCATGAAAGCCGACCTACTGGTTCTTGTCCATTCCCTGAAGTGAATGAGACAAACTTCCACCAAGCTAAGCGTGGAAAAGGACGTGGCTCCAGCCGTGGTCGGGGAAGAAACTCTAGTCATGGTAATAATAATGCACCAAAGAACCCTCCTACCACGGGCAGTGGAAAAGGAAGGAACAAAAGCATGCAGCGGTGCAAGCAGCAAAGCCAGAAAATGCATGCTATAGATGTGGAGGAAAAGGGCACTTGTCACGTACCTGTCGTACGCCAAAGCACCTGGTTGAGCTTTATCAAGCCTCCCTGAAGAAGACAGAGAAAAATGTTGAAGCAAATTTTATTTTTGAAGATAATTTAGACTTCATGCTTTTGGATGTAGCTGATTACTTTGCACTTCCGGAAGGAGAAACACGTCATGTGATCGGTGATATAAATATTTTAATTTTTGTTGTTTATAGTAAATAGTATGGTTATGTAATTGTTGTACATAAATAAAAGTTATGCTTTGATAATGATGTTTACTATCATATTTATTTTGTTTATGTCATTTTGAAGAATATGGATAATCCTCAAATTATGTTTGGATCAAACACCAATCATGAAGATATTTGTGTAATTGATAGTGGAACAACTCATGCCATATTCAAAGATTAGAAATACTTTTCTTATTTGCATAAGGAAAAAGTAAATGTTTCAACAATTTGTGGTAATATAAGTTTAATTGAAGGCTCCGGAAGAGCCACTATATTTCTGTCTATGGGGACGAAACTTATAATAGACAATGCATTATTCTCCTCCAAGTCCCGAAGAAACTTGTTGAGTTTTATAGATATCTGCCGAAATGGGTATCATGTTGAGACGATAGATGAAATGAATATGGAATATCTTTGTATTACAAAGAATATTTCTGGCCAGAAGTGCATTGTAGAAAAGTTACCAACTCTATCTGCTGGCTTATACTATTCAAATATTAGTACAGTTGAAGCACACTCTATTGTAAACCAGAAGTTTACTGATTCAAATAGTTTGTGCTTTGGCATGGCCGTTTGGGCTATCCTGGATCAATAATGATGAGACGAATTACTAAAAAACTGAGTGGGCATCCATTAAAGAACCTGAAGATTCTTACAAATAATGAATTTTCTTGTGATGCTTGTTATCAAGGCAAAATGATCACTAGACCATCTGTAACGACATGACCGGTCGTTTTGAATATTATAATCCCGTTCCCAACATTTACTGCTCAAATTATGTCTTGCAATTGATTTATGACTTATCGGGTTAGTTGGTTCGGGTCCGGAAGAAATTCGGAATGAAATAAGACACTTAGTCTCATAATTAAAAATTTAAGTTAGAAAAAATGGACCGGATATGGACCTATGTGTAAAGGACCTCGGATTTGAATTTTGATAATTCCAATAGCTTCGTATGGTGATTTTGTGCTTAGGAGCATGTCCGAAATATTATTTGGAGGTCCATAGTAGAATTAGGTTTGAAATACCGAAAGTTAAATTTTTGGGAGGTTTGACCGGGGGGTTGACTTTTTGATATCGGGGTCGAAATCTGATTCTGAAAATTTGAATACTTCCGTTATGTCATTTATGACTTGTGTGCAAATTTTGAGGTCAATCGGACGTGATTTGATAGGTTCCGAAGTCGTTGTAGAAATTAAAATTTTCAAAGTTCATTAGGCTTGAATCTATGTGTGATTCGTGTTTTAGTGTTGTTGGATGTGATTTGAAGGCTCGACTAAGTTCGTATGATGTTTTAGGACTTGTTGGTACATTTGGTTGAGGTTCCGGGGGCATCGGGTGAGTCTCGGATGGTTAACGGATCAAATTCAGACTTGGAGGAAATAGCTGAAGTTTCTGCCCTCTGCTGCAATCGCACCTGCGGAAATTCCATCGCAGGTGCAAGCTCGTAGAAACGAGCCTGGCAAGCGCAGATGCGCAAATGGACTGCGGGGCAGTGGTTGCAGGTGCGAGGGAAATTCCGAACCTGCGTGAGCGCAGATGCGGAGGGACGTGCGCAGAAGCGGCTTGCGCAAGAGCGCAAATAGGCACGCAGATGCGGGCAAAGGCGCAGATGCGGGAGTTTTTCTGCACATGCGGTTGGCGTAGAAGCGGCCAAGTTGCCGCAGGTGTGAAAACCTCTGGGCAATACAAAAATAGAGGGGTTCCGAGTTTTTGCCATTTTTGGGCATTTCAAGCTCGGGTTGGGCGATTTTGAGCAAGGTTTTCACGGAAAAACTTGAGGTAAGTCCCCTGTGATCATTTCTACTTCATAATATTGAATTATCATCAAATAATCCGACTAGATTACATGTTTTTGAGGTATAAATCAGGGGTTTTGAGCTTAGGGATTTGAAATAAGATTTGATGAATTAGAGGTCGAGTTGATGTCGGATTTTGGTAAAATTAGTATGGTTAGACTCGTGGTATAATGAGCTTTCGGATTTTGTAACTTTTGTTGGGTTCCGAGACGTGGGCCCCACAGGCAATTTTTGAGCTAATTTGCCGATTTTTATGAAAATTATTATTTTCTTATGGAATTAATTCCAATAAATTTTATTGACTGAAACGAATTATTTATGACCACATTCGAGGCGTTTGGAGACCAATTCACGAGGAAAGGACATTGCAAAATAAGAATTCCATGGCTTGATGTAAGTAACAAATTTAAATCTGATCCTGAGTGTATTAAACCCCGAATTTTGGTATCATGTGATTATTTTGGAGGTGACGTACATGCTAGGTGATGGTCGTGTGGGCGTGCGCCGAGGGGATTGTGACTTGGTCCATCCTGGGAAACCGTAAAGTTGAATAATTTGTTGTTAGCTATATGCTCTCTATGTGTTGATAAAATTTGACTGTAAATCATGTTAGAAATCATGCTTAGGCTATATGATAGTACTGTTGGGACCCACAGAGGTCGTGTACTTGTTGAATTGCCTGCTAAATGCTATATTTGCTCAGTCTCAGTTTTTACTTGTACATTTTATCTCAGTCTCTATTATTATTATTATTATTATTATTGATATATCATATCATTATTGTTTGGGCTGATTTCATGATTATTGAGAGCCCGAGAGACTAGAGAGATTAATGACTGAGTGAGGCCGAGGGCCTGATTGTGAGATATTGATACTATGGCACGTGAATTGTCCGTGCAACACGTGAGTTGGCTGTGCGGATCCTTATATTATACTATAGCACGTGAGTTGGCCGTGCAGCAAGTGAGTTGGCCGTGCATCACGTGAGTTGGTCGTGCAAATCCAGATATTTATATTATGGCACGTGAGTTGTCCGTGCAGATTATAGCGCTTGGGTTGTAGGAGCCCCTCCGGAGTCTGTATACCCCCAGTGAGCGCGGGTACCCATTGAGAGTGAGTGATGAGGGCTGGGAGCCCAGGAAGTGACGAGGGCTAGGAGCCCAGTAAGTGATTGTTGTCCTAAAAGGTTATACTTGATTTCCATTTGTTGTTGCACTTAGTTACTATCTGTCATTGTTGTGAAATCTCTGAAAGATTGTTGATATACGGATTACATGAACATGAACTGTATAAAAATTGATTTGACATTAAACTGCCAGATTTGATAGCATGTCTATTCTTTTGCTGGAATTACTGGAAATGAACCATAACTGTGTAGCTCGTTACTATCTTCAGTTCCTTATTTATTATTGTTACTTGCTGAGTTGGTTGTACTCATACTACACCCTGCACTTCGTGTGCAAATCCAGGTATTCCCAGACATAGCGGGTGTTGATCCTTTCGCGCAGTTGATTTTCAAGAGATTTTGAGGTAGCTGTCGTGTTTCGCATACCTTGTCTCTCCTTCTCTATCTCTTTGTTCACTGTATTTGGTCTCAGACTATTATAGACTATATTTTCTAGACTTGTATTCATATTAGATGCTCATGTACTTAGTGACACCAGGTTTTGGGGAGTGTTTGTATTGTATTTAAATATTATATTTTTAATCTTGAGAGAAATTATGGTTTATTGAGAT